TGTTCTATCAATCAATATTCCTTGTTATAGGATTTAACTTTGAATTGACTCTCTAATTCCTTTGTAGCTACAAGACAGCCTGCTTACAAAATTCCATGTAAGTATAAGATATTTCTTATTATTCTATCCGGCTTYCTTGGCTTTTTCTGCGCCCAGATTTTCCGGACAAGCATTCAAGCTTTGCTCCCCTATCCAACCGGGGAAGGTTGTCTTTTTGTCGGCCACTTTCAGGTTCAGTCTGTCATATATTGATTTTATGCAATTTAAACTGTGCACATTGCTAAAGTCTTGACCAGTAGTACTTTATTGGCTAGCATAAAACTTCAATTTTATCAACCCTACAAAACAACCTCTGGGCTGATTTAAGTCAGGGCACAGCTAGTACCTCACAGATCAAACCATGAAACAACCTCTGGGCTGATCTAAGTCAGGGTACAGCTAGTACCTCACAGATCAAACCATGAAACAACCTCTGGGCTGATCTAAGTCAGGGTACAACTAGTGCCTCACAGATCGAATCGGGATTTAGCAAAATAATTTTTGAAGAGGGAGGAAAACCTCAGAACTTGGAGGAAATCCCTTGACTTTAAGGGAGAGATGTTTCAAATTCTACTCACATATGTGATGTCAAATTCGGGAATTTAACCTGAAACCCCAGAGATGAGAGGARAGTGCACTACTAGCATTACAATACTAGCCTATATATTTACCGCTCAGTTATGCCTGAGCTGTTTAGAGCCAGATTAGTGTTAGTCTCGCGTCAAATCTTATATGAAAGCTTTCGTCGTCTTGGTAACCAAACACGGATCAATGACGGGATACAAAGCWACATGGTTCCTGGTGTCCTGTTTTACACGGCTGTGTACAGTAACTTATCTTTTCTCTGTTTTTTGAAAGCTCAAGTTTCAAARACCCCAAGTGTTCAAGAAATAACTGCATGTAAGTAAAACAATCACAATACTAGCCTATATATTAATCGCTAGGCTAGGYCTGAGCTGTTCAGAGCCTAAGTAAAACATACATATATTCAAGTTTTTACTAAGAAAAATGTTCACATCTATTTTTTTTATATGATTTTCCAACATCTAGTCTAGTCCATGCAGGGCTCCGCTTTACTTTGGATAATTATAAGACCTCGAGTGCTATTCTTGGGGTGCATGTTACGTCATGACCGCCATGCTGGTTGACGAGAACAAAGCGTTCCCCATGATCATTAGATTAGTCGTAAGATCAACCAACATGGCTGCTGTTTCATTGTCATTTATATCTTATGCAAGGGATTCTGAGACATGTAGCCCACCCCAGGCACAGGTTGATTAACATCAAAGCSTTTGATTATCAAATATAGCCAAATAAAAATAGACCTCTTTWGCTTGGCTATTATACTTGCCCATTGTATTAAAAGCACATGTCATTCTCTTAAGAATAAGATTCCTCGTTTGTGAGTTGTGTCCATATTCACGTGTCTTCTKATGCGCAACCGTTAAACAAAGAARTGATACTCTAGGGAATGACAMGTGRMCWGAAATGGGAAAACATTWCACCCCAAGTWAAAGAGCCAGGTACGTTAAACTTAACWTTCTTCTTTTTCAATGCAGATGGTCCAAGTGCTCGTATCATAACCTGTAAGTAACGTATTCTATGGCATTTCTTCCTAAATTTCCGAGTCGTATCTTACAAGCTCTGAGCCTGCAAAGACWGTTTTCTTKTGCATTTTGACATAATAACCGCGGACTTACAGAATTTATATTGATCCCGGCATAACCTTTCTTCATATTCTATAAAAAGCCAATATTGAACAGGAAAAATTACTAGGGCAGTCCATCTCGATACTGTGATCCCAACAGATTGCTCAGCTGGGCTAAAAAATACTTTCGCGCTGATTGTTCGGTGGGTCTGACGTCAGCATATTCACAACATAACATATCTTATCATAACATTCGGTTGACTGATCACCAAACAATGATTCCGAGTCGATCGAGGTTGCACTTGATGTCTTCATACATTTACTGTATTTCATCAAAACGATTTGGAGCCATCGTTTCGTGGTCACTCGAACGAAGTCAGTGTATGTCTGATCGTTATTGCTCTCTTTTCGGTTATAGTTAATATTGCAGAATGTCTTGCCGCCCATAATAGAAAGCGGTCACTACACGGTGTTCCACATCTACAATGGGATGCATCCTTGGCTTCTGCATCCGCGGACTGGGCTCTCTCTCTCGCAAAAAAGCCTCATGTTGTGTTGCAACACAGTACCCCCAATGGTGCYTATGGGGAAAACCTTTACTACAAGGGATCGTTCCCTGTTGGTACGATAGTGTCGTGTTCGGACGCTGTTCAGGCTTGGTATGTAGGCTGTATAAAGGCCGGTTTAGACGGTACGATTTTCGCCTACAACTATCGTATACAACACGCTTGAGCAATCCTACAACTCGAGTCGTAGCGTGTAAATCAAGCCTACAACTCGCCTACGACAGAGGCGAGCGTGTTGTATACGATAGTTGTAGGCGAAAATCGTACCGTCTAAACCGGCCTTAACGGTAATTGTTTTCTAATTTATTTTTTCGTTGAAGAAATAGTTGTTGCTTTTGTTTTGTTCATTCGTTTTTATTTTTGTTTTGTTTTTGTCTTTTTTGTTTTTGTTAGTTTCTTTTGCCGATAAGCATAACGCTATGGAAGAAAAACTAGTGAGGTGTCGTGATAAACTGCTAACTTAATTTTATTGCGTTTTTTCAGGTACGACGAAATAAAACTCTACAGCTTCAACTTCCCTGGCTTCAGTTCCGCTACAGGCCACTTTACACAGGTATCCCAATATGACTACACTTAGATAATTAACTTGCCATAAGATTTGTTCAAAATACGCCTTGACTACTGGCTTCGCAATGATGCATCTAGCTWCTCAATGTCAATGAAATTCAGATTTATTCCCCAAAAAATTCAAAAGAAATTATATTTCATGTAATGATAGTAGAAAACTCTAGTGACAAAAATCTTTGGAACGAAGCTTCCCGCCAAAACGCGCGTGCGCTCGGCTCCCAATTCTGGGACTCTCGTAGAGGTGTATCATTATATGACTCCTTTTCTATTTTCTTTTTTTCTCAGGTCGTCTGGAAGTCTACAACAAAACTAGGTGTTGGTATCGCTGTGGTGACAAAGAATGGCYTGACTTTTACTTTTATAGTGGCTCGTTACACACCCGTTGGAAACGTATACGGGTTCTTTGAAGAAAACGTACCGAGATTATTAGGATATTAAGACTTAGAATATTTGAGAACAATGAATAAAAACCTGGCGTAAACAGTCTTATAAGTAGACCCCTTTTACTGAGTCCCGAGAGGAATTGTTCTCTGCATATCTTTCGTTTGGCCATGGCAACGAGATCTACGATCAAGACCATAGGTCTATAACGTTACAGTACAAGTAGATGAAAACTAAGCTACGCAGAATCGATTATATTAGTAGAAAAATGGTATAGATCTTCGTAAAATCATAGTATAAAAGAATTGGCAACTGTAACAATATATAGATTTACTAATAACATTCTATTATCCAGTCTTGTCACTTCTTGCGTCACATTTTGTATCGTAGCTTTCGTTGATTTGAATCTTTTCGCGCGAAAACGCAAGACTTCCTCTTTAGAGTCCTATTGTCCGCCGGACGTCGGGCGGAGACTCGGATAAATTGCAACATAGTTAACTATGATTGCAAGCATGCCTATGTAACTATAACTGTGTCTGTACTTATTTATTTGGCTTTTTCTCCTTATCGAACTATAAAGTTTACCTCAGCATATTGATGGCAAATGAATAACAAATTTCTGGACTGGYACACGTATTGCCATCTTTTTCTCCGCTTCAAATTCAAGCATCTTTTCTTCTGCCAAGTTACTCTCCTCTACGAGTTTCAATGCTTCGTCAATAGCTTCTAGCTCCTTTTTAGGATCCAGTTTTAGACCATGAACCGGAGAAGGATTYCTCATCTCCACAACGTTAGTCTGTGCAAAAATCTCGTTCAAAWTCGCTTTTTTACACTGCTTATCTTTGTCATCTTGAAGTGCGACTCCYCTATTTGGATCAGAGACCGTTACCTTGGCAACTGTGCTCTCTTTAAACACGTGGCAGACATCACTAGYAATAATTTTTCGAGGAGTTAGAATATCGTAGCTTTCAACTTTGGGCAATTCAATAAACTTTCTTTCTGTATTTCTTGTGCGACTCTTGTGTCTTTCTTGGGTAGAAAAATTGTGGAAAAATTGAGAACTTTCCGCGCCACATTTCTTTTCTGAATTCAGAATTTTTCGAACTTGAGTGAATTCGTCCTTACTACTAGTCCTTTCTTTGAAGACCAAGCTTTTATAGTTAACTTCTTGAGCATTTGGGAAATAAAATTCCTTCATCAGTCTACGTTCCTCAATTCTTAGCGTTCTCAAACGTTCTATCCTTTTAAGGGTCCTTTCTTCTCTTAACTTCATTTCTAAGTTCACCTTTCGTCCTTCAAGACCGGGAATGTTTTTTTTCGTTGAATCGTAAAGATCTACCATGAATGCCTCTTTATCGTTCATCGTACCAGAATTATCATCTACAAACGTGTTTGTCTTTTTATCCTCATCTCCTGTATTCACCAAGCTTACATTATCAATAGAAGAAACCAAGCAAGGCTTACACCTATTTTGAGCTAAGAATTTGGAAGACACACTTCGCAGTTTTCCTGTTATGTTGTCATCGTCTTCTTCAAAGCACTTCTGACCTTGAATGCTAACTTGCGAAGTTACATCTTGTTTCTTCTTCTTCTCCTTTGGAATATAATTTCGCGACAAACTTGGGAGCTTATACCCTTGATATCTAACCATCTCGTCCGATTTTTCATGTTCTTTCTTGTTTTCTTTTTTAATTTTCGGCGAAGAGCGAGGAAGCTGAATGTTTGGTTGATCACAACCAGTAATAACGTGTGGCTTTGCAGCGAGCTTTGAGAGCTTTGAGTTCGTCTCAAAATCAAACTTTTTCACTAAAAAACAAACTTCAAATTGTTTTTCCAGTACCATGGTGTCCCWAACTCGATGAAAGTTAATTCCAAAACTGAACTTCACATTTCTTAGCAACAAGCTGTCCAGTTCTCGTGGCCAGCAAGCAGTATAGCCTTTGCTTCAACTAAGTTCATTTTCACAGCTTTGATGAATATCGAAACACATCACTAACACACTCATGATYACGACTCTCTGATTTACATGACAAGAGTCGTAATTAGCCTTGTATTGTAATCCTATAATGATTCTTTTATCTTTTGTTCATTAATTGATAGAAGACAATAGCATCTTGTCACGA